ATGGAGCACTGGGTGTTATACGCAAACAATGAATCATGGAACACTACACCAAAAACTAATGATGTAATGTATGGTGATTAACATAATAATTAAAAAAAAGATTTAGTGACACATGGGTCATTACTGTGGGCAGTTTTAGGAGAAAGGTAAGGGTAGAAACAAAGACATGAGTGGAAAATGAAGACTAACTGCAGTTACCTGTAAGTCAGGAAGCTTAGATTGTGAAGGTGGAAGAGAGGGATAGCTGAAAGGGTACATGGGGTCAAGGAAAGTGTGTGTGTGTGTGTGTGTGTGTGTGTGTGTGTGTGTGATGTCTTTCTTAGAGGAGGAGCAAATAAAAAGGAGAGAGAAGACATATTCAGAATGGGAAGGTATCTGAAGAAGCACAGAGATTGGATTCTTAATTAGCTGGAGAATGGTGGGAGGAGCATGTCTTTTATTGTTCCCAAGAAAGAATGTAGAAGTTAGGTGATGGATTTGTAGGTTTGGGTTTCACTTTGGTGGTGGGTATTTAATATGATAGCTTTATGTGTAAGACTGGATTACCTGCTAAGAATGTATGATAGGTTTAAGAAAAGTAGAGAAGGTTTAAAATAATAATGAGCAGGAGGGCAAACTGATAATAAATAGTAGGATTGAGAAAAGCTAAGGGTCCAGTTGACAGTTGTGATCATGAGTTTATATAGATGCATTGGTTTGCATACTTGACAGCTTGGACAAAAATTAAATAGAATGGAAATAGTTCATAGTTGAATTCATTGAATTCATGGAGAGACCAAAGGGACAAGAAATTTGAGGACATAGACTAAAGAATAATTGAAGTGATAGACTGTGAACTAAAACTAGAGAGGAAAGGAAGTGAAGACAAAAGGAGGCTAAATGGGTAGAAGTGAGGGGATAGGCTATGGACTGGAGTAGGCCAGCAAACTTCTACTGTAAAGCGCCAGATAATAATATTTGGGCTTTTTAGGCCATATGTTCTCTGTTGCAGCTACTCAGCTCTGACATTCTAACATAAATTAGCCACAACACACAAATGAATGAGTACAGCAGGCCACATTTGACTTGCAGGTTGTAATTTGCTGGCCCCTGGTCTAAGGTCCCAGTTAAATGAAAGAACTAGTGAGGTGGGAATATGAGTCTGAAAAATACGCTCAGAGAGGGAGTTTGCATCTGCGTCTGTTCTTCATAACGACAATATCTAAGGTATGACAGCTAGAGAGGGTGGTGGTTGTGGGGAGGCTGAAGTGGATCACCCACATGAATATTAACTTCGCTCAAGATGAGGTAAACGTTTGGTTGCAGAGGAAGCATGTAAGCCTAGTTCCGAGTGTTACTGAGGGATTTGTGGGTGACAGTGATGAGGACAGTGACTAGGAGAGGGTAGAAGGTGGTGTATCCAAACAGGGTAAACTTTAAAGAAGCAGGAATTCTTCTAGTCTTTGCTCTTTATCCATTTACAATATGTATTTTTTTAAACTGATAATCCAGACTTTTTCTGAGACATTTTTCACAATAAAATTAGTTTCCCTTCTGACTGCCCCCCCCCCATTTTGTTCTGTATCCAAACCTTTACATTTCTACCTTAGGAAATTTTACCCCAGGTTATGTTAAAATTTATTTATCTTCCATATTTTAGCTTCTTTTATTTAATATTAGAAGCCAGGTACATATTAAAAATAGAATATTTTTATACAGAGTGACAAATTCTTTTAATCGAGATGTTTAGACCATTTATATTTAATGTGACTAATGGTATGGTTAGATTTAAAGCTACCCCCTTTGCTGTTTGTTTTCTGTTTGTTCAGTCTGTTCTTTGATCCCTTTTCCTCTCATGGATTTCTTTGGGATAATCTAGTTTTTTTTTTTTTAATCATTCTATTTTATCTCTTGCTGACTTATTAGCTGTAACTCTTTGCTATTTTGGTGGTATACTTTTTTTTTTTTTTTTAACTTAACCGCAGTCTGTCTTTAAGTGACAATATACCACTTCTTACAGTATGAGAGCCTTGTAACTATGGATTTCTATGTCTCTCTTTGGCAGTTGTTTTCACATATTTTGCTTCTATTATAAGTCACACACTATATTATTATTTTTGTTAGTTCTCTTTTAAAGAGATTTAAATAATATAAAAAGTATATATTTCCAGTGCTCATCATTCTTTGTGTGGATCCGTATTTTCTGGTGTCATAGTCCATCTGCCTCAAGGACTTTTACATATCCTGTAATATGGGCTGCTGCCAATGAGTTCTTTCAGCTTTTGTGTGTCTGAAAAAGTCTTTCTTTTGCTTGCTTGCATTGTTTCTGATGAGATATCGTATATCAAACTTATCTCTGTTCTTCTGTATGCAGAATGTGACCTTTTTCTCTGGCACTTTTAAGATTTTTCTTTTTGTCATTGGTTTTAAGCAATTTCATTATGATGTGCTTCGATGTAGTCCCCAGGTGACCCCCGCCCCCCAATGTTTCTTGTGCTTGGGGTTCATTGAGTCTCTTGGATCTGTGGATTTAGAGTTTTCATGAAATATACAACTTTTCAGCTATTCTTTCCTCAGATATTTTTTTTTTTTTAAGATTTTATTTATTTATTAGAGAGAGAGAGACACAGCGAGAGAGGGAACACAAGCAGGGGGAGTGGGAGAGGGAGAAGCAGGCCTCCCGCAGAGCAGGGAGCCCGATGCGGGGCTTGATCCCAGGACCCTGGGATCATGACCTGAGCCAAAGGCAGACGCTTAATGACTGAGCCACCCAGGCGCCCCCTTCAGATACTGTTTTTGTTCCCCTCCCTATGCCACAATGTAGAAACTCTGTCAAGGCAGTAAGCTGGAAAAATCACAGGGCTCACTGTGTGTTTCCTTTCTCTCAGGGATCATTGTCCTTTGTTGCCTGAAATCAGGTCTTAACCATGATTTCATCTATTTTGTTTTATAGTTGTTTCAAGCAGGAGGGTAAATTGGGTTCCTGTTACTCTAACTTGACTGGAAGTACCAGTCAACTACTTTTATATTGCCAAGCAATTCAACTCTTACCACTTTAAAATCCTCACTTTCGTATGATGTCATTTTTTTTAAACTTGATAAGGTGAGAGTGAATCTGATAGTTGATTGAGAGAACTGTGAATTTTAGCTTGAATATGGAAATGTGGGGAAAATCAAGTTCACATGTACAAAAGTTTTTTTTCTCTTTTAACTTCAGACTTTTTTTTAAAACATGTTACCCAGGGAGTCAGATTTTATCTCAGTACATGGATACACTTTTTTAAAGAGGGTGAAGATGCATTCTTATTTGGTTTGGTTTAATTTATTTTTTATTAAGGTATCATTTACATAAGTAAAATTCACCTTTTTAGTATTTTCACAAACACATATAGTTTCGTTACTACTACCCTTTGTAGTCAACCCCTTTGTCCCCGGTCTAATCCCCTGGCAGCCACTCATCTGTTTTATGTTCCTATAGTTTTGCCTTTTCCAGAAAGTCATATGAATTCGAGAATCATACAGAATATAGCCTTCTGATTCTAGCTTTTCTCATTTAGCATAATGCATTTGAGATTCATTCATGTTGGTGTGTATCAATAGTTCATTCCTTGTAAGTAGTATTCCACTGAGTGTATGTGTTGTGCTTTGGTAACATCACTAGCTTCCAAAGTAGGCAAAGGCAGTTGAGTATATCTGAGGGTGGAATAGAGAAGCCTATACTGATGGGAAATTAGATGACCTCAAAAGTTCCTTCACATATGAAATTTTTAGTCTTTTGAAATGCCAGTGTAAGTATTCTTACTTGGCAAGTATAGCTTACTTGACTTAAGAAATATTAGAACATACCTTAGTATATTCCTGAATTTGTGGAACCATTTGTGAACCATAGTTCCTGAATTTGTGGGTCAATGGAAACCAGATGTGTGTTGTTTTTCCTTAGTATGGGGACATTATTTTTGCCCCTTTTTTAAACTATATGCCTTCTGAGATCATCCCAAAGTAATCTACCTTGTTGAGGTAACTTAATCCTCCTGCCACAGTCTGGTCTACTGCTGTTTCTTTGGTATATCACAGAGCTTGGCCTAATTAATGTAGGAGAAAAATGAAAATGGAAGATCTCATTCTTATTTACATATTTCTGTAAATACATGAGCTCTGGAGTCAGATGTGATTTCAGCACTTACAACTGTGTTTCTAACTTGGAAATCATACAATTAACTTGTAAAACTCATCTTTTTCATCTTTAAAATAGGGTTGGTAATAACACCTATCTTTTGAGGTTGTAAAGATTAAAAGAGATAATGAATGTGTTTTTAACACAGCATCTGGAACACAGTAAATGCTTAACATCAATATCGTAAAACAAATTTTCCCAGTCTCTCTTACATCTCCATGTGAATAAAACCCTGTAAAAGATCACAGTTTCTTATAGTTTGATCAAGGGCTGATAGAAAGTGTGAAATTTTTTGTATTTTTAAAATTAGAGTATAGTTTGGAAATTCCGTAGTCCAGATTTAGCACAGAGAAGGCTCTTTTTATTTTACTATCCTCTTGAAAGAGTTCACTTTCTACCAAATGATGAATTTAAGCTTTACAAGACTTAGGTGGTTTTCATTCAAAGAATGTCTTCAAAAGAATATTTGAAGTTTTCATTTAATAACTAGTGAAGGAAACAGATTTGGATTGAAGTTATTTCTTCCCTATCTACTCTTTACCAAACTGGCTTTTCTGTCATCATTCCTGAGTGCTTTGTTCTAGCTCTGATGTGGTGCTCCATAATACTTTCATTTGACTCTTATTGTGTGACTTGATTTGAATAGGTCTTTGTCCTGGACGAAAATTCTCAGGCTACTAGAGATTGGGAAAATGTCTTTATTTAAGTTCTGCTACGCTCAGGGGAATCTAGTAGCAATCATGAATCTATATTATTTTTGTTACGGAAATTAGATATAAAAAACAGTGTACATTGTCCTAAAACATACCTTACAGTGTAGTTTGCATATTCTTAATCTTATAAATTTTTATTGGACATATTTTATGAATTGAGATGCCCTCTAATGAATAAAACAAGGCACTTTTATTATGATTTAATGTTTTCCAGATGAAGGTAATGAAACAGAGGTACAGCCACAGCAAAACAGCCAGTTAATGTGGAAACAAGGTCGACAACTACTCAGACAGTAAGTATCCCGTGGTCAAACAAAGAAAAGTATGTTTTCATCAGGATACATATATATATATATTTTTTTTGCATTTTCAACTCAGAATAATTTTCTCTCTTTTATTATTAGACTGCTGCTGTGAAAAAGCTTAATTGAGTTATTGTTCCTTTTTCATAGTAAACATTTTTTCCCCTGTGGTAGGTTTTATTTTTCATTAAATATTAATAAGAATTAACCAAGAATAAATTCTCTTTTTATAATTTTAACTTAAAGAGTATACCTTTAAGCTTCTAAATTTTAATATACACTTATGTTTACATTTGAAAGAATTCTAGGGGCACCTGGGTGGCTCAGTCGTTAAGCACCTGCCTTCCACTTAGGTCATGATCCCAGGATCCTGGGATCGAGCCCCACATTGGGCTCCCTGCTTAGCGGGGAGTCTGCTTCTCCCTCTACCCCTCCCCCTGCTTCTGCTTTCTCTCTCTCTCTCAAATAAATAAAATATTTTTTTTTAAAAGAATTCTATACCCTTAAAGTTACTTTTTGCATCTTTTATACCTGAACATAGGTATGTCTTAATGTAAGTCTAATCAATATTTAGATGTAATTTTGTGTTATGTTTTTAAATTTCCTATTTTAAATAGATTGAAGAACTTTTTTAATTTCTCAAATTTGCAAATACTGCACTACCATGTAGTTTCTCCTATAAAATGTGTATTTGAGACTATAAAGAGGAAACAAAGCTGGAATGAGGTTCAAATGTCAGGTGGTAGGCTATAGCCCACTTAACCAGCTCACTGCCTTATCCTTGCATATCACATTTGAAATTGGTATTCTGACTTGTGCTTCATTAAAATGAAATGTACTTAGCTGTTTTTGGATTTTTGAGTTTCCTGTCAGTAGTCTGCACCAGTGGTTTCCAGAGTGAATTTGTGCCAGCCATTCCTTTTGCCTAATGGGAAGAGAATATTAAAATGTCTCCTTTTATGTATTTGTTATCTATTCAGCATGAGAAAAAAATGAGAATTCACTAACATTTAATAAGTGGTTTTCCTAGTGCCCTCACCTTGGTCTTAAATATGCCGTATTACATTTTTCTTTCATAAATGTGTTTTTAAAGTGCTCATTTTCTTTTTTATGAGAAGTAGTTACTGTAGTAAGCAATCTGAGATAGTTTTCAAAAACTTTAAAAGACTCATCATCTGTCTCTTTAAAGTAAAGGTGACATTTTATCAATGAATTAAGGAGGTAGGTACTTAGTAAAGCCAACTTACCTATGGAAAGAGCGGTTTTTGAAACAGTTATCTCTAATGTGATTTTGTTGCCAAAGATATATATCAAATATTTGTTTAGAACAGAAAAACCTGTTGGTTTGTAAGAACTGATTAAATTCAAGAAAGTTAAACATTTATTGTCCAAATTAAATATCAGATAGTATTGAAAAATGAGTATCTTGATTTGATAAGATACACTTACTCCATTTTGGTCATATATCTTTGTGAAATATGTCTTTGAGCTGTAATCTGTTAATACCAGATGTTGAAATAAACTGACCTCAGACTGGTTATCTTGTCCACCTTTGTTTTCTCCTTAATTTCATAGATTTGCTGCTTACTTACAGGCTCATGCCTAATATTTGTCTGTCACATTTGTTAATGACATTAGTAATGACCTTTGCCTTTTTCATGTTCCTTTTGGTCTTTTTTAGTCATCTTTGTTGTTAATGGGTATTGAGTGCCTTCTGTATGTCACCCACTATACGAGGTGTGTCACTTTTAGGGGGAAGAAAACTGAGGTTCAGGAGAATTAAAGTTACACAGGAAGAAAGTGGCAGAAATGGGCTTTAGACCCAGATCTAGTTCTCAGTACAAACCTGTTCTCTTCTCTTCTGCTGCCTCTCTGTAACACACACTCCCACATGCACACAGGCATCCCACATCCACAGTTGAACTGTGGGCTATTTTTATTTTAGAGTTGTCTCAGGATAAAAGCTTCCTTTCTGTAGAAATGACTCTTTGGAATATACTCTTCTTGTATGTCATGGAGGAAACCAAATATGCTAGAAATATCCTCTCTGGATCTCAAACAGTTGATTCAATAACTCTCTATATCAGAAGTGTAAAAAAAAAAAAAACAAAAAACCACTGGTTATAATAATTACTGTTGTAAGAATCTGAGAGTGAGTTTGCTGGCTAGAAGAAAGAATGTGCTATTAGGTATATTAAGGAACAGCTTCTTCTTATGATAAATGTAATGAATGGTGTATTGTATAGTTCTTTGATTTTTTTTTCAGTGACCATAGAGGCTGGTACTGCAAGAGACAGCTCCATCTGCAGCTGGAAGATTATTTATTAGCACGTCTTACTAGCATAGTACTGTACTGTTAAGTCTTACGCAGGCAATGAATTTAAAGAAATACTTTTATTTACATATTAAGTTATAGAATACTGATTCCAATATGACTGAATTGTAAGGATCTTCTTCACACGCAGGTATCTACAGGAGGTGGGTTACACAGATACCATTCTAGATGTGAAATCTAAACGAGTGCGAGCTTTGTTGGGCTTTTCAAGTGATGTCACTGACAGGGAAGATGACAAAAATCAGGATTCAGTTATAAATGGCACAGAGGCCGAAGTTAAAGAGACGGCAATGATTGGGTAAGTATTCTGTCTAGAAAGCGTTTTAGCTAAAATTTTAGTGCTTATTAAATATTTTTGGTTTATGGTTGACACTTGTGATACTTGCGTTTTAGATACTGCTACAGAAATAATTTATTATAAAGTTGAATTAAAAAATTGAAATTTCATTTGGTAGAAGATAACCCATAGGGATTAGAGTTATTTGTGATTATTTTAAGAATATTTTTAAGATATTTTTATTTGCTTGAAATCTATAGGTTTAATACAGATTTTAATATCTTGAAGCTCAGTCACTTACTATTAGAACTTCACAAAAGATCATCTTTAGGAGATTCAGTTCAAATCTTAAAAGAATGTAATTTCATTCCTGATGACCTAAAAATCCTATAAATTCCTCAAATTTTTTAGAAGTAAATGTTTTCTTAGCCATTTGTGTATTTAACAATACTGTAACTCACCTTTTCCTTTGAAAAATATCTATTTTAAGTGTATGTTTTTAATTGATAGAATAAGTGTGAAAAATTCAGTAGCTGTTTGAAATATTTTGTTTTGCTTTTTGGATCATGTGTCATACAATTATATGTAATTCTGCTTAAAATGAACATGAGTAGTTAAGGACATTCTTTATTGAAAATAAATTTGGCATGATTCTTTTTTTTTTTTTTTGTAGTTTTTAATTTTATTATGTTAATCACCATACAGTACATCATTAGTTTTTGATGTAGTGATCCACGATCCATTGTTTTCATATAACACCCAGTGCTCCATGCAGTACGTGCCCTCCTTAATACCCATCACCGGGCTAACCTATCCCCTCTCCCCCCTCCCCTCTAAAACCCTGTTTGTTTCTCAGGTTAAATTTGGCATGATTCTTAAAGAGAGAAAAAGCCAAAGATTCTGTGAAAGTCTGAATATTATTTTGCCTCATTTTACTGCATGTTTGGGCTATAAGAATGGTTTTAATTGAACTCTATACATTTTCTAGTGAGAACATCATTTCTGTTATTTGGAACATTAACTAAAATTATGGGATTTAGGTAAAGGTTCAAAAATAGGACGGACTCCTATAAACGAACTTCTATAAACAAATGTCACTGGAGCCTTCCTAAATATATTCATTAATATTTAAGACTACATTAACTTATTTATGCAAATATAAGATTAGATTGTTTCTTTGTGTAGGCATAGACAATGTAGGCCTTATTCCTGGTTATAGTTTTACCTACAGGGTTATTATAAGTCATTATAAAGATGTTCAGAAAAGGCCACTTGAGTTGTCTTGTGTTTTGCCCTTGACCTGTCTTTTGGAACTGACAAGGGTATTATTCCGAATCTGTCTCATTTGTGTAGGGATAGAGAATAGGGTGGAAGATACCAAAAACATAGCTCTCAGCAGATTTGAAATTTAAGATTAATCTGTCTTAGAAATGTTGTCTAGAGTCGTGGCTAAATTTTCTTTAAAAAAATACCTTGTTATCTAAAACATTTCCTAATGAACTGGAGAGAAATCATCTTATTCTGGCCATTAGGAAATTATTTACTAAATTTATTTTGAGGAAACTAAATTAAAATCTTATGTATTTGAAAAGTCAATCATTTCAAAAAGTTAATGGTTTATTCATTAACAGCATCAAGTTTCGTAGTAATATTAGTTTGACTTAAGTTATTTTTAGTAGCTTTATGTGTATATTTGTTTTTTTCAACTCCTTAGCTGTTCAGTAGAAATATAGGATTGTATCAGAGAAAACTGATGTATCTACTAGCTATTTTCTTAGTTATAGAAATTCACATGTTAGAGGAACAGTTGCAGAGAGGAAAAGAATAGAGAAAAATAGAAGTAGAGGTAATAAGAAAAATATTTTTAAAAAGAAAGACATTAACGTTCTTTTGGATCAAAAGAATACTGAATCAGGAGGGGTGTTCTTTATATTACATTAACCCAAATAGATATGATTGCAAAGTACTTTTAAAAGAGTAACCACTTCCTATTGTGCTTTGCCAATTAAAATCCATGGAAATATAATGGATAAGAATCAGTGTAGGGAGCCTGGGTGGCTCAGTCGTTAAGCGTCTGCCTTCGGCTCAGGTCATGATCCCAGGGTCCTGGGATCGAGTCCCACATCGGGCTCCCTGCTCGGCGGGAAGCCTGCTTCTCCCTCTCCCACTCCCCCTGCTTGTGTTCCTGCTCTCGCTATCTCTCTCTCTGTCAAATAAATAAATAAAATCTTAAAAAAAAAAAAAAAAGAATCAGTGTAGTTCATAATATGATTTGAGGGATCATAGTTACAATGTAAACAGAAGTTAGTGCAACATATGGATTAATTCTTATGTTGAGTTTAAAAAATTAACTGAGCAAGGTGTACATGTTCTAAACCAGAAAATCCGAGTTAACAGATTCTGCCTCCGTGCTGGATAATTTCAAATTCCTTGAAAGTGCAGCTGCAGATTTCAGTGATGAAGATGAAGATGATGACATTGATGGAAGAGAGAAAAGCATCATTGATACTTCAACAGTGAGTAGGATAATATTTTTAGGGATCATTATGCTTACTTTAAAAATAATCCAAGTGAAAGAAAATTAAAAAAAGAATCGATTGGTTCAACCTAAATCCTTAACTTTTTTTCATGAATTTGGGGAAATTTCATCTAAGAGTTTTTAGTATTGAGTTTAAATTCAATAATAATTTTAGGATGGCAGCTTTCTCTTAAAAGGTCCTTACTCTCTGGGGCACCTGGCTGCCTCAGTCGATAGAGCACATGACTCTTGATCTCAGGGTTGTGAGTTCGAGCCCCACATTGGGTAGAGAGATTACTTACAAAAATTTAAAAAATCTTTAAAGGTCCTCACTCTTTGATTTATTAACTCATTAAGCATTTTAGTAGTTCAGTAGAGCTGGTGAATATGGTAAAAATGTTTGTGTTATAACAAAGCAGTGTTGTTGGTGCTATAAGACAGTAGAACTGACAGACCCATTATGGTACCTGATGGCGATTGGCATCACCTCTAATCAGTGCAGTTTTGTCTTTCTTGTCTGGGTTGCTTTGGTAGACAAATGTTACAAATTTTTAGAACTGTTCCATTAGATTTCTTCAAACTTGTTTAAAGTTATTCTGTAGTTTTGTTTAGATCTTTATAGGTTTATTGACTTTCCCATGGTAGTTTCTTGGAATAAGAGGTGTCTTGCTTCTTCTCCTTTCTCTTCTCCATTCTGTCACCTTCAGCTCCTCCTGGTTTTTTGTTTTTTTTCCTTCCCTTTTTTCCTCCTTACTTTTTCTTCCTTCTCCTCTCTTCTCTCTCTCCTTCCTCCCTCTCCTCCTCCTCCTCTCTTTTTTAAGTAATAGATGAGGGCATGCTTTGTTTTGTCTAGGAAAATGTTTACATTTCCTCTTTCATGTTTATTTAAGAAGAGTAAGGAAGAAAGCAAGGTAGTGAAGCCGACTGGACCTAGAGTTGAAAGCTTTGGGTTTAAGTCCAAGTTGTCACTAGTTATCTGTGCTTCTTACCCTTCAGGCTTAGTATTTTAGTTTGTAAAATGGGGATTATAAATACCCATCTTATCTTCAGAGGATTTTGTGAGCAATAAATGAGATGCTATATATGAAAAATGATATAAATGCTTTCTGGGTATAAATTCTCTCCTTTATGTCCTCTGCTTCCATCAAAGACTCTCAAATTAGTGCTTCCACATTATTATTTCCCTGAGCCACTCTGCAGTAGTATTCTGCTGATACAGCCTTGCCATGGATATTATTTGAACTTCAGGTAGTTACCCCCAATTTTTCTTATCCAAACAGGTAGTAATAGAATATGTTTTAATTTACTGTAGTAAAAGAAAATGCCTAAACTTGTATGATACTTTTTCTCTGTCCTGTTCATTTGGAAGTTTTGTACTGCTTTGTGATTTCTGTGGGCCAATTGCATTGAGATTATTATTTTCCCATCAAAATACTTTATTCATAGCTCAGTGGTAAATGATAATTGATTATCATGCTTTAAGTATTAACTATGGTCTTACTAGAAATTCCTAACCATAACCTGGTTTCTTTTTAAGTAATCAAATTCATAAAGATCCTGTCTTGCAATTAGTGCGGATTTTAGCAATTCTGTGACCAAGCAGTGAAGGCATAGCTAATATAAACATACTTAACCCCATTTAAGCATGGACTCAAAAATCCTTTTAGTTTTTCAGGAAAAAATATCCCTAAACAAATAATTGGTTTCTTTGTAACAGCTTTGCTAATTTTTAGGATATATTACATTAATTTTCACAGCTGCAGGCTAATAGCTACATACCAAAAGGACTTTCACAGTCTAACTCTGTGTAGCAATGAGTAAGCATGACTTAAAAGATTTATTGCAGTTAAAATGTTTAGTAAAACAAACAGGTTTTTAAACTGTTACTTTATTTCTTTAATCAAAATAGTTTGGTAGATTCAACTAAGAAAATATAGAGACATGGGCTGTTAGTAACTATCATTTGTGCATAGCTGCATATGCTGTCTTCTTGCTCTCTACCCTCTTTTAGAGTTTGATTATTCTTTGGGTTATATTCTGGATCATATCTCTCCTCTTTATCTCCTCCTTCTTCATGATCAACCTCTTCACCTTATTTTTCTTTACCATCATTGTTTTGCATTCTCACCATAGTATCATTAGTTAAGTGTAATAATGATCTTGAAATTATACATGTGTATAAAAAGTGATCAACTTTAAAATGTTTGAAGGATAACTTCACCAGCAAGATTTAGTCTCCACATTCAGATACTTCAGGAGGAAAAGGAATGGGATTAAGAGTCATTAAAATCTATTGTGTCATCCCCGTTTGTGTTATATTTCTTCTAATGGTTTTAAAACCAAAGTGGCCGTCTATCCTTTTTTCTAATCTTTGTGGCACCCTGTGCAACCTATAACTTTTTTGTGTTTGCCTTAATTCTTAAGTTGACTTCTAAACTCACTAGAGGTAGGAGTGGAGTGGAATCTGGAATGTAAGGAAAAGTAGTATGTACTTATTATAACAAACCCCACCCCTTCCCATTTACTAATCCTACTCTCTGTTGGCAACCACACTTTTCTTCTATGCCTAACCATTAAAAACACAGGAGTTTTTATTTAAGTGGGAGACTTGATAGACAGTGGCCTGCAACTTGCCATATCTTCATTCATAAGGTTATATGGAGGAGAGACCTAGAAACAGATTTTTTCCCAAGGAGTTAGTTTTGTGACTTATTACCATATTTAGTAATTAGAATGTTGAAAATACATTCAGTTTTTCAATATAAGGTTCCAGATACTTATGTATTTTCCCTGCCCTTTTCATCAGGCATTGAGAACAAGAATCTCTATCTACAAGGTGTGGGTGATGGCCGCTCTAATTCATATCTGGTGTCCCATCAGGGTCGGGGGAAGGGAGAAATCAAGCCTCTAGGGTGAAAGAAGATGGATTAGGCAGTGTGTTTATTTGTGGAACAATGAAGGTCAGCGTCTTCTATTGGTATAACTCGTCAGAGATACTTTTCTACCTTAGTTTGGCTGCCCAGAGAAAATTAGAAAAAACTATTAGCATATAGTTACAAAAGAATACACCTTCAGCATGGGATTTCTGTACTCAGTATGTCAAACTTTTTTGTTTAATTGATGTGCTGGATGGGAGATTGGAATATGCTATAAACATAAAAGTATGTCTAGGTCTTAGGGAAATACTCTAAATAGTTAAACCAGTTATTCTAGCAGCATTAAAGAATCCTTGATTTCTTCTATTCAGTTTTTATATATACCAGGGTAGTGAAGGCAGATTAGGTTTCATCTACTGCACCAGCTTTCTTCTGATAGTGGCTTCCTGGAGTACTACACTAGAAGGATTTTTTTTTTTTTAATTGAAATTCAAGTTAGTTAATATATAATGTGGTATTGGTTTCAGGAATATAATTTAGTGATTCATCGCTTACATATACTACCTAGTGCTCATTGTAACAAGTGCCCTCCTTAATGCCCATCACCCATTTTGCCCATCCTCCCACCTACCTCTCTTCCAGCAACACTCAGTTTGTTCTCTATAGTTAAGAGTCTCTTATGGTTTGCCTCCCTCTCTGTTTTGATCTTATTTTATTTTTCCTTCCCTTCCCCTGTATTCATCTGTTTTGTTTCTTAAATTCCACAAGTGAGTGAAATCATGTGATACTTGTCTTTCTCTGACTGACTTATTTCACTTATCATTATACTCTCTAGCTCCATCCATGTTGTTGCAAATGGCAAGATTTCATTTTTTGGATGACTAATATTACATTGTATATATACACCACATCTCCTTTATCCATTCATCTGTCGATGGACCTTTGAGCTGTTTCCATAATGTGGCTGTTGTTCATAGTGCTGCTGTAATATTGGGGTACATGTGCTCCTTTGAATCAGCATTTTTGTATCCTTTGGATAAATACCTACTAGTGCAATTGCTGGGTTGTAGGGTAGCTCTGTTTTTTTTTTTTTTTTTTTAAAGATTTCATTTATTTATTTGAGAGAGAGAATGAGAGAGAGATAGCATGAGAGGGGGGAGGGTCAGAGGGAGAAGCAGACTCCCTGCCGAGCACGGAGCCCGATGCGGGACTCGATCCCGGGACTCCAGGATCATGACCTGAGCCGAAGGCAGTCGCTTAACCAACTGAGCCACCCAGGCGCCCAGGGTAGCTCTGTTTTTAACTTTTTGAGGAACTTCCATACTATTTCACTGAGAAAGATTTCTGAGGCTGTATCTGATCTTAGATGAAAAGTGCTGTGATTGGTAAGTAATACCAGGAATGGGCATGAGAACAGGGGCATACAAGTCAGGTATTTGTTATCTCTTAGAGTCTGTTTCTAGACTCTGTATTCTGTCCTATTGATCACTTTGTTGAACCCTTATAATTTTAATCCACTCGCAGTAACCCAGTGATAAAGTTTGATCAGATCATGCTATTTCCATTTGCATGAAGTGAAGAAGCTGAGGCCCGGAGAAGCTGAGATAGTGAATCCATTTTATCAAAAGAAGCTGCAAACCATTCATCCTAATTTCTTTGGGCTTCTGGTGGTGGAGGTGACTAAAAAGAAGATAATTCATAAAGAGTTTTGACATACAGATCTCAAAAATTATCTCTGCATACATTAAGCCTAAATTTCAGTCCTCCAACTGGATTTTTGATTCCAGAGAGATTCCTCAATACATAAAACAAGACATAACAGCCCTTACCAGATTTGCTATTGAATCTAAGTCAGGTCCCACTCGGAAAGATCAGTATTTTAGAAAAAATTTGAATACATAAAGAGTTATTAGGGAAAACTGATGCAAGGTTGGAACAGTAGAAGTACTGGGGGAAGCTTTTTTCCTTCTCTAATACCATACTTTCTGAGACTTGCATTTATTTCTGAGTTTGTAGCTTTTATGATTTTAGATTTTTTAAGGGAATTATGTAGTAGAGTTAACATTTATCATCGTTATATTCTGTAAAACTCTTGTATTTTATGAAGTGTTTCTCTTTTTGGTTAGTTTAGAATGTCTGTGCATTGCACAGACTGCATCCAAGAAATATGAGAATATGGTTGTAGTTCTCATAGTACAGTAGTATGTCAGGGACATTTTTCATCTATCTATAATTGAAATACCTATCTTATATTCCAGTGTTTTCAATATATGATTTCATTAGCTTACTCAAAACAAACAAGCCATCCTTGAACAAAGTTTAAATTATTACTTTAAAATGTGTAATGTATCTTTTGTAAATGATACCTGTTTTACATTGAACTGGTTAAGTATTATAGCTTTTAACATGACAAAGATATACTTTCTGAAGAAGCCAATAATTGGGTTTCCTCATTCAGTGATAAAGGGATACTGTTTTCCTTTATTTAAATTAATTTCATAATATATCCTAAAATTCAGGGGCGCCTGGGTGGCTCAGTTGGTTAAGCGACTGCCTTCGGCTCAGGTCATGATCCTGGAGTCCCGGGATCGAGTCCCGCATCAGGCTCCCTGCTCAGCAGGGGGTCTGCTTCTCCCTCTGCCCTCTTCCCTCTCGTGCTCTCTGTCTCTCATTCTCTCTCTCTCAAATAAATAAATAAAATCTTTAAAAATAATAATAATAATAATATATCCTAAAATTTTAATTTAGCATGTTTTTTCATTAGATTGTTAGGAAAAAAGCATTACCTGATAGCAGTGAAGATCGAGATACAAAAGAAGCTCTAAAGGAATTTGACTTCTTGGTTACATCAGAGGAAGGAGACAATGAGTCTAGAAGTGCAGGCGATGGAACAGAATGGGGTAAGGAAACATACTGCTTCCAGCCAAAGGTGTTAAGTAAACAAAAGAAACTAATATTTTACCAGGAGGGCAATATCTTGAAGAAACTGTAAATTTCTTATAATGTTGAAATTTTGAACATCCTATGAACTTTTTACTGTTGACACCTTTTATCCAGGGTGTATATTTGTGTGTGCATGTTTAAAGGAAGTTGTACAACTAGTTATCTTTTTTTTTTAATATAAGCAATATACCATGAAAATAATTTGAATCCATATACAGAATGTTCTGTGTTTCCTGCCTAGATAGTAGAACTTGCAAATCTGGATTTTGTGGAAATTGAGTTTGAGAATGTAATAGAAGAGTTTTTAGAGACTCATCTCTGGCATCTTCTGTGCAAAAGAAGTATAAATTTAAAAAACTGTAGTTATTCGGGGTGCCTGGGTGGCTCGGTCGTTGGGCGTCTGCCTTCGGCTCGGGTCATGGTCCCGGGGTCCTGGGATCGAGCCCTGCATCGGGCTCCCTGCTCGGTGAGAGGCCTGCTTCTCCCTCTCCCACTCCCCCTGCTTGTGTTCCTCTCTCGCTGTGTCTCTCTCTGTCAAATAAATGAATAAAATCTTCAAAAAAAAAACAGCAAAAAAAACCTATAGTTATTCAGTGTAGGCAGATTTCACCAGTTTGTGCAAGGCATAGAATTTTTTGGTGCAAATTGTTCTAAACAAATTTAATATTTTAAACATCTAACGGGGTAAAACAAGTATTTGGGGGAAGACTTCTACAGCATAGATTGTTCTTTGGGTTTGGAAATGAATTGTTGCTATCAGTAAGGTAGGATTGTGATGAATTCTTCAAAAGTGATCAGTCCTAGCAGGTGTGTGTACATGTAGTATGAGTGAGGAAGAGAGAGAGACAGATACTGAGAATGAGAGAAAATTTTCTGTTGAGGTTGAAGAATTCCAGGACTCCCTTAGTTGTGGTTTTATGCTCTTTATTTATTTTTTTTTTATTTATATATATATATTTTTCTAATTTTTTATTTATTTATTTGACAGAGAGAGAGATAGCGAGAGCAGGAACACAAGCAGGGGGAGTGGGAGAGGGAGAAGCAGGCTTCCTACCAAGCAAGGAGCCCGATGTGGGACTCGATCCCAGAACCCTGGGATCATGACCTGAGCCGAAGGCAGACGCTTAATGACTGAGCCACCCAGGCGCCCGGTTTTATGCTCTTTAAAGACAGAGTTAGAGAATCAGTAATTATCCTGGTTTTAAATTGGGGGCTTTCCTTGGGGCTTTACCTTCAGGAACTCTTAAGATGCCACTTCTTTTCCTTTTTTGTGGCAAATACCTGAAGGTAATTATTATACAGGATAATTAGTCATTGAAATATGTAATGGCTATAAAGTGACTAATTATTATTACTGTTTTTTTGCAACAGAACAAAGTTTGGAAACCAAGGGGATATTGAAGTAAAATCTCTTTTCTGTATTGTTACTGCTGAGTTTATTTATCAAGTTACTCAGATATTTTAGACACCAGTTCTACCAATATAGCTAGATCCACTGTCTACACAGAAGTCTTTCTCTGAGGAGTCATACATCTGCATAAATAATAGTTGGCTTTTTTCATTGCCAGTCTTACTGCAAGGGTTTTGTGATTCATTTCTCTCCAAAGACAGCTGCATTGTTTCTTGTGTCACTTCCTTTGCTTTATAGTGTGAGTCATGGCCCAGAGTTTATATGATACATGTGTGTACGTTTTCAGCTAACCTCCTAGGAAGTTACTGGTGAAAACATGAGCGACTGGTCCCACCTTTGAGCTGTCTTACTCTTTAGTAGTGTACTGGGTATTTCTGAATATGAGTGAATGGAATCTTTCAGTTGACTAGAGGTTTCCTTACCAGGAGTTTAGCCTTGTGTGTTTTTAGGATTTTATTATTCATAGTCAGAAAATTTCACTTTTAAGCAATTAAAAGAACCAGATTGCAAATCCTGTTTAATTGAATGGACATTTAAACCATTTTAAGTGCTTCATTTATTTTTCCCCTTCCCCCTTAAAAAAGGAGTGAATATGCGTAGGTTAAGAATCTTGTTAGTTTCTGGCAAGTAAATAGATTTTATCACACATCTTCCATGATCTTCCATTACTATCATTGTGAGTATAATGAAGATTACAATAAGGCTTAACTTTTAATTTAAAAAACTGAAGACATTGTAGGATCCAAAAGCTACCCAGTTTAAATTAATATGACCTGATTGCTGAAATATTAACATTTTTATTGTTAGATCTTTCTGGGAAAGTAGAAACTTTTTATTATTGATAGATTATAGTTAGAACAGTAAAAATGTTGAGTTTTTAAATTTATTATGTTTAATCTTTTCAGAGGCCCAATTAAGTTTTTTGACCTGTAGATTGAAATTTAACTTGTTAAAAATAGGTTCCTGTTTGTTCTGATTCATTTTGGTTTATTCCAGTCATTCAACAAATACTTATCAAATGCTTTCTGTGTGCCAAATCATTTGGTGAAGATCCCTACCCCTGTGGTCCATATAGGCTACTAAGAGAATATAGACAATAAACTTTAATAAACATAAATGATAGAGCATGTCAGAAGGTAATAAATGCTATGGGAAATAGAAAAAGTAGAACAGAGTAAGGGGAATAGAGAGTGCTGGGGTTGGGGTGAAGTGGAGGGGACAGATTACAATTTAAAATTGTAATGGGGTAGTTCCCATTGGGGGGGGGTAACATTTGGACAGAAGACTCAAAAGTTGATTGGTGGGTTTTAGCAATATGGTTTCCAGGGAAGAAATATTCAGGAAAAAGAAAGCCACAGCAAATGCCCCAAGATGGCAGCAGCCTTGATATGCTTGAGCAATTCAAGGACATCAGAATGGCTAGAGCAGAGTGATTCTAAGGGGGAATTTGGTAAGAAATGACCAAATCATGTAGCGCCATAGACCACTGGTGAGATGGGGAACCACAGGAGGAATTTGAGCAGAAGGGTGCCATGATCTGACTTTGATTTTAAAGCATCATTCTGGCTTTATTGAGAGAGCACCCAGTGTTGATAATAGTCTTGGTGTGAGGGGAGAGGGGACAATTATTGGAGTAATTTTAGCAAGAGACAGAGTGATTAGAGAAGTAGAGTATGTGCTAAGTAGTCAGATTCTGGATGTGTTTGGAAGATAGAAAAAACAGTATTTTGTGAAATACTTGATGTGAAATATGGAAGAAAAGGGAGGTTTTTGGTCTGAGCAAATGGAAGGATGATGCAACATTGGATTTGGAAGATTGGGAATTTGATTTTATACGTTTAGTTTGAGATAATCTGTTAGACTTTCTAATGGAAATGTAGAGTCTAGGGCAGTTGGATATATGAGTCTTGAATTCAAGTGAGAGTTCTGAGCTAAAACATAGCATTATATAGTATATAAGTAATTTTACACTAATATAAAATATATAACACATTCTTTAAATTTTCTTCTCCTGTAATAGTGAAAATTAATGATTGAATTTGTTATCTACTAGGAGCTCAGTTTCCTGTTTAAGAATTTGTAAACTAACAAATCACTTAAATTGCTTTAAATTTTGAATGAAGGTTGATTGATAAGTTTACAAAGTGCTATTTATAAGGCCTATAAAAAAAATGATCATTAGTTGATGAACACATGCCAAAAATATAAAATTTTTAAAATGAAAAGATTATTGAAGACTATTTTGTATAATCTCTTAATAATAATCTCTCATTACATAAATTAATAAGAAATTTTTTTTTATGAGTCCTAATTGAATAAGAAAATGAGGGCTTCTTCTAGAGTTTTTGGGCTTAATTTACTAAAAGTCACTCAGATCTTCTAGGGTTTTTTTTTTTTTCTATGTCTCTTTCAAGAGAAATTTCTTATTACCTAGGAAATTGAATTGATTGTTGTTTCTTAGATATTATATTTTCTATGACTTATACATCTAAAGAATAAGCAATGACTTTTTAAAATTAGTGATACGATGAACAAAATGGTTGTTATGTCATTCAGTGACATAACAGTGAATTGACTTACAGTGTTCAATATCTTATTTAAAAAGGCTGTTTCATTTGTTTCACTCTATTTAGAAAAGGAAGACCAGTGTCTCATGCCTGAAGCCTGGAATGTGGACCAGGGAGTAATTACCAAACTCAAGGAACAATACAAAAAGGAGAGAAAGGGGAAAAAGGGGGTGAAGAGTAAGTGGAAAACATTGTGTCTGTAAATCATAAAACTTGCCTCTTTTATATCCCCAATTTTTTTTTCCAATGTTTTCCTAAAACCACTTACTCATTTTCTTTTCTGCTTCTGATCTCTTTCCTTTTCACCTGCTCTCAGGGGTTGAAATTAAATGGTTAGCTCTTTGAGTATGACCTTAAAAAAATAAAAACAGCCATGCATATGATTATGGAACCATAATATATCCCAATAATACATCTAGAGCCTCATGAGAATGTGGGACTATATATTCAAAACATAGTGATAATTTCATTTTTAAAGTATATATACTTAATTACCACAATGATTTTTCACTGTTGACAATTTTAAATCTCATCTAGTATGACCCTCTGGCAATCCACCCAAATTATTGCATATTATTTTTGGACTTGGAGACAAAGTTAATTTCTACCCCTGAATATTCTCTGTGTTCATAACAGACAGTTCATTTGCTTTCACCACTATATGCTATACAGGGCACAGAGTCAAATACACAACTTTTAAAAGTATTTATTTTCTAATTTAAAAATTTTGACCAGTTAGCTTTTTTCTTTTTTAATAAGATGTCTACCATATCAAAAATGGAAGCTAAAATGAAATTGCTAGCCCTGTGAATCATATATATATAAAACTCATTATACAAATTATTAGGTTTAGCAGTAGAACTAATTAAAGTGGAAATACAAAGTCTTTCAAACATCCCTGAACACCATCTAAAACACCTTTTTAGGAGAGCAAGGCTAAACTACCTCCTTGTGCTTCCACTCTCATTGACAATATGAACATGGGTTTCCCTTTTATGGCAAAAGGAATTGCATCCTTTGGGATATTAAAGTAGTGTAAAGTAAGATGAAAATCCAGTTTAGTGAAACATATATTTAAAAGTTGGAAAAAGTAGTGTAGTCATTACTGATAAACATTTAAATCTTTATTTAAAATATTTTAGGTGTTACAAGTATTTAGCTTGAATGGATAAAAAGTCAGTGACTATTTTTGATGTTACCATTATACCAACTATTACATAACTGAGATGATGTTCTTTGATACCTCCTCCATATAAATTAAATCACAGTGAGAAAAATTAATATTAAAACCTAAGAGCGTTTTGTACCTTTTATCCAAATGTATGGATAAAAAATTCAATCTTAAACAGTAATGAGACATGCTTTATTACGACTTTGCAGACCATGGCAAAACCAGTTATACTGAAATTTTAATGCAAATATCATAAATGAGAAAGAATATTTTAATTTTCAGATTGGCTTAAAGTTGGTATTTCTTTAAGTCCTTATGCTGCAATAATGAATGTCTTCAAATGTAAAACATCTCTCAGTTGGAAGGATATCTAGGTCTTATGTAGAATCCACCTACTATTATATTGATTATTCAGTTCTTGTCAAATATCAAGGCATTGCTGTAGTTGGAATTTAGCACTTAAGATCTAAAATGGCACCATTTGACTGGAACAGTATTCCTACTAATGGAAGCTATTGGATTTCCTGACTGGGGATTATGATCACTAGGCAGGCATATAGCACATGGTTTTTTTGTATGATGAAGAAAAATGACTGCAGGGAGAGAAATTTTAATGTGTTTCATTGAGGATAGAAGGACTGCAGAGTGAGGCTCAGCATATTTTGTTTATTGTTGTCAGTTCATGTTGTCTTAATAAAATGGTGATCTGGGAACAAGTGAAGACATAAAAACAGAACTGAAGCAAAGCTTTGACTTGATATATAAAGCATGGATTTATAAACCACCATAAATATTTTTAATTGAATTAAAAATTACTCATTGGAAAAGTTTGATCAAGTCCTTTTGATATGGTCTAGTAGAAATATTTCCAGTCAAATTGTGTACTCCAATCATACTGTCTTGAAATATATTTCTAGGTATTAGTTAAAATTGCTTAAAAGTAGTTGTATTCTTTGCTGGTATAGGAAAAAAAACCATAATGGACTATGGGTAAGATTTTCCCATTCTTAATTAAACTTGTAACAGGAAAAACTACCGAAGATCTGTTTCAGCCTCTATCCTATATAAAACAGTCAAAACAGGGATGTGGGAGAATGAAGAATCAAAGCTCAGGTAAGTAATCAGTAGGGCATGAGATTTCACCTCGGGTACCATAGTTTCAGGATGTAAGGCAATGAATGCAACTTAACATAAACAGACAAACAAAAAGGGATGTTATTGTTTAATGCAATACACAGTAGCTTCACAATCTGTGGTATCTGTCTGCATTTAGAGTAATATACAAGGATTATAGAATAATATGATTTTTAGTGGTTCAAACTGCACATGAACATTGTTTTTCATGCAAATAGCAATATTATTCCTTTAGCTTAATTTTTAAAATATATGTAAAACATAATTCTTCTCAAGAAATAAACTTTTAAAATAATTTGAAAACTTGGAAAGTAATTATTTTTTAATATGGTAGGGTAGTTTTAAAGCTGAATGTAGGTAGATGTGAATAAGGTTTGTGGCACCATTTTGATGCAGTTGAATAATTCTCTTCTTTTTTGTTCTCTTCCTCCCTGTTTTTGGGCTAGGGCCCAATAGGTCAAAACTACAAGATATGCTTGCTAATTTGAGAGATGTTGATGAACTTCCCTCATTGCAGCCATCTGTGGGTTCACCTTCCAGGCCCACCAGCTCCAGGCTTCCTGAACACGAAATAAATAGGGCAGATGAAGGTAAGTATGTAAGACCTCTGGGGGTGTCTGGGTGGCTCAGTCGGTTAAGCGTCCAACTCTTGATTTCAGCTTAGGTTATGATCTCAGGGTTGTGAGATTGAGCCCTGCCTGTGTCAGACTCCATGCTGGGTGTGGAGCCTGCTTGGGATTCTCTCTTTTCCTCTCCCTCTGCGCCCCCCTTCCTCTCCTCTTAAGAAAAAAAAAAGACACACTAGAGCACAAAAAGTATGGCGATATACATATATAAGTTATTCAGAAGGACTCTTTAAGAAAAGAATTTTATTTTACAGATGTTTGATCTACATAGTATCCCCCAAAAGTAGGCTTTCTTACATTCAAGAGAATTTGATTCCGGCTTCAGTCTTTTAGACTTAAGAAAGGGTGCATAAACTTAAAGACCAACTCTGAATTCTAGTTTAGAGCATCCCCTGGCTCCACAGGAGCCATGTATTTGGTATACATAGGCTGTTTTATTTATCCCATTGCAACAATGTGAAAATTAAGTATAAATAGGTAGTAAATGTTTACTTTGTACTTTTACTTTTTACTTCACTTTGTACTTTTTGTACTTATGTACAAAAGCATAAATAGGTAGTAAATGTTTACTCTGAGACTCATAAATATTTTCAAATGTTTTATTTAAGCAGTTTGTCACTGATAAATGAAAAAAGGAAAAAAGACACCTGAAAGTCTAGTCACATTTTCTGCTTTCTGTTTTTACTTTCTTCCCTTTTAGTCCTTGTCCAAATGTGTATTATTTTTTTTACAAAGTTATAGTCCCCAAGTAGAATAATCCCATTTTGTTTTATTCACTAAACATAAAGCCACAAAAATAACTTTCATAATTACAACTTTAAGATTACATATTTGTATTTTAGACTTGATACTTAACCATTTCCCTGTTGGAAATTTAGGTTCCTAGTTTTTTATAGCACCATCTTAGGTGTCTTTTAGATACATGTTCTGATTTATCTGCCTATATGTAGAAATTGATTTTAATATATATATTTACAGTAGCTGAAAATCCAGTAGGACATAAAAGTAATATTAATGATTAATAAATATTTTTCAAAATTTATTTTTTAAAATTGTCTTGAATTTAAATACTGTAATTATTTGCAGTGAATATGCCTCTTTAAATTATTTTTGATTGAACAAAACAGCCCAGGAAAAAGCCACAGAAAAATCATTAAGTGTTTTTCTTTCTTGGTTTTTAAACTCAGTTACATTTTAAAGAGACATAAACTGATAGAACTTTGATGGACAGATTTATGGTTGGAGTACTTTTTAAATGAAATTTTTGACCGTAACATGGTTAGTTATTTGTTAGAGTTAATTATAGTACATTTGGAATTTATTACTCATACATTAAATAATGAAGACATGTACATTACACCTTTATAGTCTAAATGTACAATTTCTTTGATGTAGACATGTCTTTTGAATGAAAGATGTGAAGTAATGGGCCTCATTAGGTATGTTTGTTGTTCACTAGGAGATAGTGACAGTTGACACTATCAATGTGAGAATTTTTAATCAGTTTCAATTATTCCAAGATGAGGTCCAGATAAGGAGAAAAGTTAGTTCTTCTTTTATTCTGATAACTCCTAAAGAGTTTTATCAGAGATTTCACCTTACAGAATTCTAATAATAGAGGTAGACTAAGTACTGTATACTGAATGATAAATGTAGAAAAGCATTTCATAAGCCACAGAAAGTGCCCTTGAAAGAAAAAAAATATTTAAGAATCTTAAAACTGAAGGGTTGACTATCTAGCTTACTGTCTGTAACATTGGTTGTCCTAACCTTTCCTCCTCAGTGTAAGGTTTTCAGCAATAGAAAAAGTATGTAAGAAATACATTGTTGTTGTTTTTTTTTAATTTTTTTATTATTATTTTTAAAAGATTTTATTTATTTATTTGACAG